AAAAAAAAAAATGAAAAACAAATTTGGAGATATTTCCGTATGATAGGTCGCTCCAACTACAATAGCAAATGGCAGAGTCAAATAGATTTTAAACATGCAATTTTTTTTTAAAATGGAGATGTTTGCTCGGGGATGGCCACGCTATACCTTTCGAGTTGGTCCTTTTCTGTGATTGTTTTTTTCTTTTCCTTTTTAGTTTTCTCGCGGGTCGCTGCCCGTAAGTTACCAAGACTAGGCTATTATTCTGCTACAGATCATGATACGGAAATCTCCCTTCAAAATGTTTTCTACGTGACAATAGTGCGAATTCATCTTACGCACATTTTCTGTATTTTTAAAAACAGAAGAATATTTTCCTCTTTCTTGTTTATCCATCCTTTCTCGTGTTGCAGTTGTCGAAGACAGCGCGCACGCCATCTATCGCGATAACACCTCCGACCAATAATAGAAAAGTGGCATCTGATCTGGCCAATCTCTTCAGGTACGGCTACCGTCGGAACTTTGACTCCGCCTACTCCATTTGAGTGGCACTTAAACGGACCAACCGGAAAGAGCGTTATATCCATCGAACTCCCCCTTCCTCCAGGGTGTGGAAAGTACTCCAGCATCAGTCAACAGACGAGCAGCGGTGAAGGAAGAAGAACGTTATTCGAAAGATCGGGCTCAATCCATTCATCCATCTCTTCAAACTTTTTTTTTCCTCATCAAAATTGAGAGCCAACGCTTCGAGGAGGTGGGGGGCCACTTCGGTAATCGATGGCCTTTTCCTTCCATCAAAATGACGGACTCCAAACAGTGCGACAACGATCACGTCAAGAGACCGATGAATGCTTTCATGGTGTGGTCAAGAGCCCAGCGACGTAAGATGGCCCAAGAAAATCCAAAAATGCACAATTCCGAAATCAGCAAAAGACTGGGCGCTGAATGGAAACTACTGACGGAGCCTGAGAAACGTCCGTTTATAGACGAGGCGAAGAGACTACGAGCGGTGCACATGCGAGAGCATCCCGACTACAAATACAGACCCAGGCGGAAACCGAAGCCACCTTCACCCAAGAAAGACTCATTTTTCCCGCTCGATCCTAGGATCATGCTGCGTCCATTGGAGAGTGAAAAAGCACTGACAGCAAGGACTTTTCAATATCCCCCTCCAGACCCTGCTGGCTATGTTTACGGCCCATCCTTTGGAGAACATTTGAAAAAAATGGGAGAGTTTTCGACCAGTTCCTATATGGGCACCCCACCGAGCATCTATCCGGATTCACCTTTCCCCCCTACTTTCCCCAGTTTTGTTTATCCAGGAGCCTATAGATCCTTCGGTGCCTATCCTCCTTGTTTTCCGGGACATCCTCAGGACTTTATTCATTCCTATCCTTACTACCACCTCCTGAAACAGGAGAGACCGTTGGTCATCACTCCTCCTTCGTCCTCACCACCTGTCATCACTACACCCCCCTCACCCTAGGTGAGATTATTTATTTTCAAATTGATTACTAGTTCCTTTTGTATTGTATAATAACTGTAAATAGTGATTACATGTTAAGCTATTTCACTATTTGTTTATTTTTGCAATTACTTCAATTTAGTTTTTTAATCGAATTTCAAAAATTAGTTTTTTTTAAATATTATTTTCATTTTGACAAATGTTTATTTAAATTTTCTCCTTAATCAATTAAATTACATTGAAGTTCCTTTTGTATTGTATAATAACTGTAAATAGTCATTACAAGTTAGGCTATTTCACTATTTGTTTATTTTCGCAATTACTTCAATTTAGTTTTTTAATCGAATTTCAAAAATTAGTTTTTTTTTAAATATTATTTTCATTTTGACAAATGTTTATTTAAATTTTTTCCTTAATAAATTTAATTACATTGAAGTTCCTTTTGTATTGTATAATAGCTGTAAATAGTTATTACAAGCTAGGCTATTTCACTATTTGTTTATTTTCGCAATTTTTTCTATTTAGTTTTTTAATAGAATTTCAAAAATTAGTTTTTTTTAAATATTATTTTCATTTTGACAAATGCTTATTTAAATTTTTTCCTTAATCAATTAAATTACATTGAAGTTCCTTTTGTATTGTATAATAACTGTAAATAGTCATTACAAGTTAGGCTATTTCACTATTTGTTTATTTTCGCAATTCTGTCAATTTAGTTTTCTAATAGAATTTCAAAATTATTTTTTTTCTGAAAATTATTTTCATTTTGACAAATGTCCATTTTAATTTTCTCCTTAATCAATTAAATTATATTGTAGCTCCTTTCGTATTGTATGATAAATGTAAAAAGTCATTCAGTTTTAAACTAAACAAACTAATGGATTACCCTATTTTTGTGCTTATGTAATTAAACTGGAATTTGAATGACAATTTCTTTTTCTAATTACTTTTAAAACATTTTGATTTGTTTCTATTCTCCTCAATGACTTAATACTACAGTTCTTTTTGTATTATATAATAACCGTAAGCAGTAGCTTCGTGCTAAAATGTGCAAATTTTATATCTCCTTTGTATATTTTCATTAATTGAATTTCAATAACTATATTTATAAATTACTTTTACCGCCACAAATATACGTTTCAATTTGTTTTTATTTTTCAATCAATTAATTTATATTCTATGAGCTCTTGCATGATAATTGAGAAAATTAATTAAATTAACTAAAATAGGCTAATTTCACTATTTGTTTACTTTCCTAATTAAATATTTACTTTTTAATTGAATAAATTTTTTTTGGAAATTAGTTTTACCCCTACAAATGTTATTTTTTTTCTTAGTCATTCATAATTTATATTGTAAATTCCTTTTGCATCGAGAAAAAAATGCGAAAAGGCAAGAAATGCTAAATTAAGCAAAAATTTAATAATTTCGCTGAATTTATTACTTTAACTATGTTGTGTTTTTGTGATTAAACTGGATTTTGAATAACAATATTTAAAAATTATTTTGACCTCAAAAATATCAGTTTAAATTTGATTTTACCCACCATTAATCCGTATTACAAATCTTTTTGTACTGTATAATAACTGTAAGTAGCATAATAAATGTGAAATATAATAAATGTTAAAGTGTGCAAATTCCATATTCGAAAGTAAACGAATATTTCCATATTCGTTTACTTTCTTAGCTGGATTTGAATAACAAATTTTAAAAATTATTTTTACTTCAATAAACATCCATTTCAATTTTTTTTTCTCTTTTCATTTAATTAATTTATATAGTTTCTTTTGTATTGTAAAACAACTGAAAAAAAAATCATTCAATGTTAAACGAAACGAATTTGTTTGTATCATTATTTGATTATTTTTTAATAGATTGGATATTGATTAACTATTTTTGAAAATTAGTTTTATCTCATTAAATATATCTTTCAATTTTTTTCCCATCAAATAATTTGTATTATAGTCCCTTTTGTATTGTAATAAAACTGTAAAGAATCATGAAGTGTTAAACTACCGAAATTCACGCATTTACTTTAGTGTGTAAATAGGAATTTGGTGAATTATTTTAAAAAAATATTTTTTGCTTTAATAATTATCCTTTTTTTTCACCCCCGCTGTAAAAATGACTTTTTTTTTCGACACTAACTTGAAAACCATCCTATGTGTAAACTTCTTTATTTCATACTTTATTAACATTCGGAATTAAATTGAAAACTGAATTATAATTTTTATACATTATTTTTACCTTAGTAGATTTCCGATTTGTTTCATTTTCAATTATTTACTTTATATCAAATGTTTCCTTTAGTATTACAATACACTCACGATATCTCGATCTTCGATGTATCGAAAACCTTGTACGTCAAAAAAATATTTTTCCCCTTGCCATTATATATCTGCCTAATTTTAATATGAATTCTTATACAGAAGAGTTTCTTCTCAAAATCTTGCTGTGTCGAATTTTTTTTCAAAATAGAAATTCAATTTTTTCGGAAAAATCAGAATGTAAAATTATTGTACACTAATTCCTTTCTATTTAATGCATCATTATTTTTATCTTACTTTTAAAAATAAAATTATCTTTGCTGTATTCTGACTTATATTCAACTATTACATATTCTCACCTTTCATGACTCTACTTTATATTTTAGAACATATTTTTCTACTTTTTTGAACATATGCAGTTCTGAACTTGTTATCCCAAAAAACTCGCTATATCGATATTTTTTTAGCGTTCCTTCAACTTTCAGACATCGAAAGTATTGTAAAAAGTTATTTAGTGTAAAATTATATGAATTTTATTTAACTTACCTTTGTAACTAAATTGGTTGAATTTTTGATAAGGATTCTAGAAATACACGTAAAAGGCGGTCTTTATGGTTAATGCTTATAATCTTTTTAATACATTTTCTTAAATTTCTTCAATAGTTTATCATCTCTGCATTAGTAGGATTATAAGGAGTTGTATTTTCGTAAAAAAAGATTTGTTGATGTTTATTGAGATTCTGTTGTCATGCATGATATTCGCAGCAACAAAATCAACAATTTCAAGCAATTATATCATTTGTACTTTTGCGTGTATACTCATTTACTATAAAAAAAATCACTCACAAGCTATCATTTTCCTGCATCAATGTGGTAACATTAATTTTATATTTATTGAAAATATTTGTAATATCCTTATAAAAATTATTTAATTTCTTACATTTAATTTTCATAAATAAGCTTTTATTTATTTTTCTTTTCAATATATTTTTAATATTGTAGTTTCTTTTGCAAAGCAATTATTTGTAATTCTAAAAAAATTTAATAATGTTTTGTACTGATATAATTGGCATGCATAGTACTCAAAGGTGATGAAAGACCGGAACACTTTTATAATTTTGATCCGGGGATAGGAATGTATACTTATAGTAGGTAAAAACGATTCGTTGAAATCTCACTTATAAACTGTTCGATGGATCTCGTACTAAATTTAATTTTGTCATCTAAAATCATAGTTCTTCACAATTTAAAATGTTTGTATACCTTATAACTCAAAATGTATTCGATTATTATTAAAATAAAGTTTTTAAAAAATAAATAATTTGAAATTTTTTGTATAGTATGTCATTATTTTTGGATAAACTGGTTTCGTGAATGTGTGCAAAAAGTTATATGAGGTTCGATTCGACAGCAAAAAGTAAGATTTGTAAATGTCGACTGATCTCTAAAGTAAACTAATGACCCTATTTTCCTATTACACTTTATATTTTAAGGATCAAAAATTAGCAAACAAAAAAAAATTATTGCAAAAAAATAAATTTCTTTTTTGCAATTAAATTCGTCTTCATAAACTAATTAGCTTTCAATTCTCAATTTAGCTTCATTATGAATATCACATAAAAAACCGATCATAAATTATTAAAGTATTCCGAATTTTATTTTCCGCGTTGTAAAATATTAGCGAAACATCAATTGTTTACATAAATTATTAAATATACCGCGTATTTAAAATATTATTTCTCATTCAAAAGTTTCGTTTTTTAAGTATATTTTTATTGTAACATAATTTACTTGTTTTTTCAACCCCATTAGACCTGACATTTAATGAACTTTTTCACTAACATATTTTATTTTTAACATGAATGCTGCTTAGCCTATATTTAAAATAATCTTTATGTTAATTATGATTTTATAAGCATTTTAATGATTTTCAGTTATTATTTTTTTAATTAGCAATTAAATTTCATTAGGTTATTGAGCTTTCAGTATCAGAACTGCGTGTCATTGGATGCTAAAATATAAACGGCAGTACCACTCATTTGAGTTTAAATATAATTTCCATTTATTTCAGTTATTTGTACATATAATTTATTTTTGCTGAATAAAATGGAAGTTATATATGACGTGAGTTTTACATGTTCACGATAAATTCCGTTCCTGCATTTTATTTCATTTATTAAATTACTTTTAAATATCTAAAATAAACGCTCCTTCGAAGCAAACCTTTTTTTAAAAAAGAAGATCGAATTTCCAAGAATTATTCCACACGGCTCGTGAATTTGAATTTTTTTTAAATGTACAAATATATTAAAGTAATAAATATATTAAAGTAATAAATATATTAAAATAACAAATGCATGATAATAATAATAAAAATATACAAACACTCATATATATTACTATAACGATATTTTAAAAAATATGAATGTGATAGATCGTGAATAACATGTCTTGCAGCAGAAAAATGTATAAACATACGATTTTTATCGAATACTTTGAAAGTTAATCACTTTTATTTGTATAACAAAAATATTGATGAACGTAAAAATAAGTCAGTTAAATTCGAACAATTATCGAGCGGCATTAATAATTCCTGATGGAATATTAACACACAGTAAACTAAAGCAGAATTAATAAAATTTTTAGCTTTAAAAGTGCAATAATTACCTCAATTTTAAACTTTTAAGGAGTGAGACTAGAAGAAAAAGAGAGCCGTTCTTCTCACGACCGAACTCAGCTATCGAAGGGGGTGGAGACAGAAAATTCTAAATACGCTTTTAATCCTCTTAATGTTCACCAGTAAACTGATGATGAATACATACTCTATTCGGCAGTATATACAGTATACTCTAGATGTCTTGAACTTCGATAGCTCGAAAGCCTTGTT